ACTTCATTTTTTGTTGTGTTATAAAACACAACAAAAAATAACAAATATTTGTGAAAATATGGAGAAATTTAAACCCTTGTGCTTTTTAAAAAAATTTTTAAAAAGATTTATTCATTCATTAATTCATGAATTAATTAATCAATTAATTAATACAAGCACTGGGTATAGTCAGAAACATGGGAGGGTGATAGAATTCACCAGAGCCAGAGCAGGGAACAGAACAGGAACAGGCAGACTGACAAAGAAATACACTGCTGAGGGGAGCAGCCGGTGGCAGGAGAGGTCTGTCTCGCCATGTGGGACCCTCTCTGGTGGCCAGGGATCGAACCGGTGCTGCAGAGGCTGCAGGCAGCTTTGTAGCCCAGCGCTCAACCGCTGCGCCACCAGGGGAGGCCCAACCCTTGTGCTTTGCTGGTGAAAATGTAAAATGATTCAGCCACTGTGGAAAGCAGTTTTGGTGGTCCTCAAAATGTTAAACATGGAATTAGTATTTGACCTAGCAAGGACTTTCAACCAGGCACTGGAATGGATACTGGCACACCAGTGTTAAGGGCAGCATTATTTACAATAACCAAAGGTAACAAAAGTCCAAATGTTCATCAACAGAAGAATGGAAACAATGTGATATTATACATACTGGAATATTATTCTTCCTTAAAAAGAAGTGCCATTCTTTTTTTTTTTTTAAGATTTATTTATTTATGCACACAAGAACTGGGGTACAGGCCAGAGGCTTGGAGGGGTGAAAGGATTCATCAGAGACAGAGCGGGAAACAGAACAGGCAGACCGACTGAAATACACTGCTGAGGGGAGCAGCGGGCAAGACAGGAGAGGTCTGCTGCGCCATGTGGGTTGCTCCCTGGCTGACTGGGTATTGAACTCATGCTGCAGAGGCTGCGGATTGCTTCATAGTGCAGTGCTTAACCCCTTGTGCCACCAAGGAGGCCCAGAAGTGCCATTCTTAAACATGTTACATCATGATGAAACTTGAAAACATGCTAAGTGAAATAAGTCAGAAAAGGACATATACTACTTGATTGCACTTATACGAGATACCTCTAATAGGCATAATCAGACTGACAGAAGTTAGAGGTTACCAGAGTCTGGAGTTAGGGGGAGCGGGAAGATACTGTGTAATTGGTAAGACATGTCTGTTAGTGACATTAGTATTTGGGTGTGATGGTGGTGATGGCTGCCCAAAATTGTGACTGTGCTTAATGTCACTGAATTTTCACCTAAAATTGTTAAAATGTTAAATTATATGTATTGTGTACTACCATAAAAAGGAACACAATTTAAAAAATATTTAAAAATGGAACAAAGAAGATAAGAGGTAACCAGACAGCTTTACCATGATTTAAATAAACTCAAAGGCCTAATTTTCAGATACTTGTTTGTAAAGGAAAAAAGTTGAGATGTTTAATAGTTTTATAAAACAGCGGATGATGTATGTATGTATGTACATATATACATATTCATGTAGCATGAGGATTAATTTTTTGTCTTTGGAAATGTTTGACATTTCCTTTCTGATTATTATATGCCTTTCTCATGCAAAATCAAAGTAACTAGACTTTGGTTGCATTAAAAAGGAGTTAAAGAGTTGTGATTACTTTGAGGTTTTTTTTTTAATCTCCTCTAGATTATAGTTTCTTTAGAATAGGGACTGCCTTATTGCTTGCCCTTTGTAAATCCTGATCTAATTTTTAAAAAAAGATTTATTTGTTTATGCATACAAGAACTGGAGTTCAGGCCAGAGGTGCAGGGGGTGAGAGGATTCACCAGAGACAGAGTGGGGAACAGAACAGGCAGATCAACTGAAATACACTGCTGAGGGGAGCAGCGGGTGAGACAGGAGAGGTCTGCTTCGCCATGTGGGTTGCTCCCTGGCCAGCCAGGGATTGAACTCATGCTGCAGAGGCTTTGGATAGCTTCACAGTGCTGTGCTTAACCCCTTGTGCCACCAGGGAGGCCCCTGATCTAATTTTTGAATGAATGATTGTGACAATGTTTGTTTTTATTTTTTGTGTAAGTGGCTTACAATGCAGGTATTACAAGTAATGTCTGCAGTATGTTGCTAGAATGAGAAAAATAGAAAATACTCAAAGGTATGAAATTTGGGGAGAAGGATAATAGAGATTTATTTTACAAGTTAAATTTCAGAAATATTTTATACTATTTTATCAGTTTTTATGGGTAGCATTGTTTTTATAGGTATTTTGAGTATAATATATAATTGTGTTTAATATTAGATATAACATGGGTCCTGTAATGGAGATCCCAGTGAGGTAATTAGCTGTTTGCTAGAGGCCTTGCTTAGCAGACATTTTGCCACTATTCAGACTGCTCTAATTTATGGAATCTAAATTTTCATGCATTCACTCACTTTACTTACAGGCAGGTAAGAAAAACTTTATTTTTATTTTGTAGGTGCTGCCTGCTGGCCTGCCTGCTTGCTCCCTGCCTCTTTCTCTCCTTTCTTCCCTCTCTCCCTTCCCTTCCCTCCTTAACCTGCTTTCATTCTTCTCAGTTCCTCTTAAATTATTACTTGTGTTTTTAGGACAAACCTACAATTAGAATGATAAAGTTTCTGTGCTTAATCTGTTGCAAGACGTTAAAAACATGTCCCTGGGAACTGATGGTTTTGAACACTTAAGAGGCAATTCAAGAACTAGAAATTTGTGGCAATATTTCTGAGAATTTTTCCTCTAACAAAAATGACATTTAAACACAGATTTTAAATTGAAACTGACTTTTTTATAGGTTCAGCGATTTTTAATTTTTCAAAATTCACATGGTGCTACTATCTGCATGAAGGATACTCATACAGAAAGTGTGATAGAGTGGATGTGTGTACATGAATGCCCAACATCAATAGTGAATACAGGATGACAAGGAAAAGAATGATGTGCATTTTATTGATCTTCTATTTCCAGGGCCAAATGAGGCAGAAAAATGAAGGAGAAAATATAGAAAGCAGAAAATTCCTTTGAGCCTTTGTAGCTATGTAAAATTTCTTTTTGGGGATGAAATACTTGACTGCTAAAATTGTAAACAGAATTTTTCCAAAATTGAGAGACTTGTATATTATGTAAAAACTGTAACTAATAATCACTGTAATCAAATTAAATACTACATACCCAGATGGAGTAATTCATCACCTTCTTAACATGAAACTTCAGAGTTCTTGAGTCTTAGTTAAAAATATCCAGGCATAATAACCTAGTAAGAACTGACCTTCTAATCATATTTTGGAAGTCACAAAGCCCCTGACTTCACATAAATATATCATATGAAAAAGAAATTATCAGATTAGTCAGCAAAAAGTAACATTAAGGGCATCCCCTGGTGGCGCAGCGGTTGAGCGCTGGGCTGCGAAGCTGCCCGCAGCCTCTGCAGTGCCTGTTTGATGCCCAGCCGCCAGCTAGGATCCCACGTGACGCGCAGACCTCTCCTGCCGTGCCCACTGCTCCCCTCAGCAGTGTATTTTGTGGGTCTGCCTGTTCTGCTCCCCGCTCTAGCTCTGGTGAATTCTCTTAGCCTCCTGAGCTTCTGACTGTACCCAGTGCTTGTATAAATAAATAAAAATAAATCTTAAAAAAAAAAACCCATGAAGCATGATTGTGATTGTTTTATTTAATTTTTATTTTTTATGTAGATGCCTGTGAAACCCAAGTGTCACCACAATCAAGACAGTGAATATATGACACCTCCCAAATTTTTCCCATGCCCCTTTATTGTTCCCAAGTCAGGCCCTGCCAGCCTCTGCCGTTTCCTGGCACTGTTTCTGCTTTTTTTTTTTTTTACTTTGCCAAAGGGTATGTATTTAAAAGGCATTGAGCTGCTTCCAACTCCATGACCCCTGCTTATAAGTTTTTGTTGTTACTGTAGAAATATATACATTTTTAACAGAAATGAGGGCATATTTATTTATTAAAGATTTATTTATTTATACAAGCACTGGGGTACAGGCCAGAGGTGCAGGAGGGTGAGAGAATTCACCAGAGACAAAGTGGGGAACAGAACAGGCAGATCCACTAAAATACACTGCTGAGGGGAGCAGTGGGCGAGGCAGGAGAGATCTGCTGTGCCGTGTGTGTTGCTCTGCAGCCGGCAGGGATCGAACCAACACTGCGGAGGCTGTGGATGGCTTCACAGCACTGCACTCAACCCATTGCGCCACCGGGGAGGCCCCAAATAAAGGCATATTTAACGGTGTCCTCTAATTTTACTAGCTTACTAGTAAATCTTCACTTCAATTCCTATCATTATTGGTTTTCAGAGATGCATATTTGTCCATGTGAAGGTGCTATAATTTGTTTATTCAAAAGCTAGCATCTTATTGAGGGACTTGTACTTGTTTCAATTTTATATCGTTTCTATTTTATGCTATTCTATTCATATACCATCATTGTTGAATGATTTTATTACATCTTCATGACAAACTCTTCAGTTCTGAACTGAATTGCATCCCTTCAAATTCATATGTTGAAGACCTAACCCTCAGTATCTCAGAATGACTCTAGTTGGAGATTGGACCTTATCTTATTTATTTATTCATCTTTATCCCCACCACCATTGTGTTCCTTGTATCTTTCCCCTGAATGACAAGCTTTGCAAAGTCTTGGGGAGATGATGCCTTAAGTGCCCCTAGCCCTTTGCCCCTACCATGTTCTGGACCATATACTATAAGGTTCACAACCTTTTTCTGCATTCCTTATGACAGCCCTATCAGGTCACATAGTCAATATTTGCTAAATCAAGGATTTAAACTTTTCACCTAACTCCAAGGTCTTTCTTATTTTCATGCTATTCTTCTGCTTTGAAAATTACTATGCAACTTGTATTGTTTTATGCCTTGCCTAGTTAGATCTTTCTAAATATCCCACATTTTTACTACTTTCCCCCTGATTTTCTCATCTGCCTATGTATGGAATTATGTGTTTGCTTTTTAAAGTTTCAATTTTGCTGATTTCTGTTCTTTCATAATTTAACTCAGGTGTAATGTCTTTGCTGAGGCCTCTTCTTCTGGATGTGGTCCCAACAATTCAACAGACTGCTGCTTTGGCTCTTGGGAGACTGGCTAATTATAATGAAGACCTAGCAGAAGCAGTTGTGAAGGGTGACATTCTTCCACAGCTTGTTTATTCATTAGCAGAACAGAATGTAAGAATTAAAAAAAAAGTTACATTTAATTTTTTGGGGGGTTGGAATTTTAAAAAATGTGATGGTTGGGTACAGTTACAAGCTTGTAGCATTAGAATGATTAGGATGCTGGTACAACTTTCAGTTCTTTGAACGGCACATCATCTTGTTTAGGGTATTTTACTTTGGGGTAGATATATACAGCCTTCCATTCTAACTTTTAATACAAAGAGGAAATGGTATAAAAATTTAATGGAGTCATACTTAAATCAGTTATTCTGTGAATGGCAGTATTAAAATGATAGGATCTTTCTTAGTGAGGCAAATCAAATGTAATTTCCAGCAATCTTATATAGAGGTGAGAACTGGTTAATGGAAACTATAAGAGTCAGTTCTGCAGCAAGGGGCAGAGAACATCCAAAGGAATTTATTTCATAAAGCACCAACAAACAATAGTGAAGAACTTTCCCATAGGAAGTTTATCAGGACCTAGGGATATATTTTTCTTGACTTATCTTTGAGATCAAATTCCTATTTGCATAACCAAAGGACAAACAGTCCAGTTAAAAAATGGGTACACATTTTTTCCAAAGCAGATAGACACATGACCATCAGACATGAAAGATGTTCCACAGCAGGAAATGTGTCAATAGGAAATGCAAATCAAACCCACAATGAGGTATCGCGTTACCTATCAGGATGGTCATCACAAAAAGAAAACAAAGGAAAAGAACAAGTGTTAGTAAAGATATAGAGAAGTTGAGAACTCTCATACACTGCTGTAAGAGTATAAAATGGTGCAGCTGCTATGGAAAATAGTTTGGCAGTTCCTCAGTAAGTTAAACATAATTACCATGTGAGCCAGCAATTCTACTCCTAGTTATATTTCCCAAAGAATTGAAAACAGGTGTTCAAACAAAACTTGTACACAAATGTTCATAGCAGCATTATTTACAATACAAAAAGAAAGACTGGCTAAGCAAAATGTTATATACCATACAATGGAATATTATCAGTCATAAAAAGGCATATACTGCAACATGGAGGAAGCTTGAAATCATTTTGCTAGAAAGAAGCCAAACATGAAAGGCTGCATAGCGTGTGATTCTACCTTATGAAATACCCAGACTCTTCACATCTGTAGAGAAAGAGGCACATTGGTGATTATCAGGGGCAAGGAAAAGAGGGGGGCAGTAGAGTCTACATATGGGGTCTTTTTGTTGGGTGATGAAAATACTTGGGAGCTAAACAGAGAATGGTTTACAACATTGTGGATGCAGTAAATGCCACTGAGTTATACACTTTATGTGGGTAAAATGGATGTTAAGCACATGTACTTATTACAGAATAAAAAATTAAAATCCTAAATTACCTTATTTTATAAATTAGAGAGGTATTTACTAATGAGTGTTTTATCTCTGCAAGGAATCACAGAAATTTAATTTGTCTCATAGGTGATATTTCTGTTACCAAATATTTAGACTTTTTTCTTGGACTCTTAGCTCTTTCCACTGAGAGCAGGGTCTGTGTTCTGGTATTCCCCATAGAAAGTTCTCAGTAGAAGTTTTCCAAATATGAAGGAATTTCCATTAGTTGCAAAGAGACATAAAGAAATGGGGCAAAAAGTGAGGTGAAAGAGTATAAAGCGTCATTCACAAACTTCTGTCTCTTTCACCTGCCAGTTCTTAAACATAAGCCTCACAGGAGGCTTCATGTCTTCTTTATGAGCTATGGAGTCCTCTGACTTACTTTTCCGTTTTTTCCCTAAGGAAATGATTTGGGTGAGGAATAGGAGAGAAGATAGGAATTAGGGAAGAAGAGAAAGGTGGTAAAGAACAGAAAGTGGGCCTCCCTGGGTAGGGCACCGCACTGTGGGGCAATCTGCAGCCTCTGTGACCCAGTTCGGCGGGAGTGCGGCCAGCCGGGGAGCAACCCACATGGCACAGCAGACCTCTCCTGTCTTGCTCACTGCTCCCCTCAGCAGTGAACTTTATGGTTAATCTGCCTGTTCTGTTCCCTGCTCTGTCTCTGGTGAATTCTCTCACCCCCTGCATCTCTGGCCTGTACCCCAGCTCTTGTATGCATAAATAAATTTTTAAAAAAACTAAAGAGCTGGAAGTGTAGATTATCGTGTAGTTAATAGTGACTAGTTAGTAGTTCTCAGTAAAGAGTGCATTTGAAAATTTGCAATATAGAAAGTCAAATTAGGGCCTCCCCTGGTGGCGCAGCGGCTGAGCGCTGGGCTGCGAGGCTGCGGGCAGCCTCTGCAGCGCCTGTTCATCTGTTCATTCCGTGGCTGCTGGTGAGGGTCCCACAAAAAAAAAAAAAAAAAAGTCAAATTAGCGTAAGGAAATGACAAGAAATATTTCACTGTTACTTTTACACAATTATGAGAACTTAATCTATGGAAAGCTACTTTAAACTCTAGTCTGATTTTTTACAATAAGTAATATTTGTCTATGTATAAACAATTGGACTTTATAACAAATACTTTAAAATTAATATATGTTAAACTTAAGCTAAAATATATAGCAAATCACAATATAACTAACAGCATATTAATATCATCAATATTTTAAAGTATATTAAAAATACCTGATGTTTTTTTCTATCTCATAGTTTCTATTGTATCTAATATTTTAGTCAAAATAAATGGAACACTTTCAAAACAAGTGCTGTTGCTATCTACTCTCTTTTTATTGGGTTGTTGGAAAAGTCATGTGTCACGACCTTCTGACAACCCAATAGTAATCATTGTAAAGAAAGTAAATAAAATAGGGCAATAATTGTTTCTGTTAATAAAAGGAAAGCTTAGGACATCTTTGCTGTATCATTATGCCAGCCTTAAGACAACAGTGAGTGTGACAGTCAGATATACTGTCTATGTATTTAATTTTGTTGCTATAGGCAGAAAATCATGTAGTCTAGTGTTTTAGTTTTTTCTTCTTTTTAATCAGATAAAAATTATATATCAAGTATTTTAAATGGAGCATTACTTAAAACTCACAAAATGTTATTTACACTTATCTTTATAAAAAGCTTTTTTAAGAGTGGAGAAATAACGTATATCATTGCTTGGCTAGTTTATTTGCCAGGAAATGTTTTAAAACATATATTTAATATACATCTTTTTGTTTATCTGATGATTGGTGGTGCATCCCAGAACATGTTATTTCAGCATCACTTGGGACACTGGCAAGAAGACTATTGAGGTCATCAAAGGTGTCCCATGCTTAGAGATTGGGGCAAGTAAGAAAAATGAGTATGTTAGTTGACAAAATTTAGTTGCACAAGCTAACAATCTAAGAGTTCTCATAGGTCAAGCAAATACCTCCTCATGTAATGCAGATACATAAAATCTCATTATTTTTTGAGTTTGTAGGAAACTTTATATTTTATATAATTTCTAAATGCATGTTTCAGAGTAAAACAATTGAAGTATAACTTAAGACATAGCATTGTTTTAGTTTAGTTACTGAATAAAAGCAATGGGAGAAACATGAAAAAATCAAAATGATTTTGCAGGATATGTTTCATCTTTTGTATTTAAAAGCTGTTGAGCTTTATTTACGTTAATGTTACTTTTACATTGATATTAGTCTTTATTAACTTAGGTAAATACTCAGATCACTTTGAATTTTGTATATTTTCTCCTTGTAGCGTTTTTATAAGAAAGCAGCTGCCTTTGTGTTAAGAGCAGTTGGTAAACATTCTCCTCAGCTAGCTCAGGCGATAGTTGACTGTGGAGCCCTGGATACACTGGTGATATGCTTGGAGGATTTTGACCCTGGAGTCAAGGAAGCTGCAGCCTGGGCACTTGGATATATTGCAAGACACAATGCAGGTAATTGAGCATAGTTTAAAATTTGATTCTTTTTATATTTACTAGGTAAATCTGATTTTGTTTAGCAAATTATAGATGGGGTTTTAATGATTTTTTTTTATACCTTATGGGACATATGTTTTGAATAATGGCCAAGTTGTTTAGATCACATATTCTCAAAAATCTTATACATTTCTCTCTATCTTAGCAGAAGAGAAACTTAAATACTTATGGGGCAGGGGAGATGAGATACTAATTTAGTCTCAAAGGCCTTGGTAAATGGGTTCAGTTAAAAAATGTTTTAGTTTTTCACCACTCAGGGGATATTGAGTCTTCTGTTTCACTCATGTTAGGGTATTCCAAACTAGCCAGGAGCCATATCAAATGGGTGAGTGATGTTAAAAAGATGGACATGATAACTTTCTAGAACATATTTTATTTAGTCCTTGCGCAATTTTATTATATTGGGCAGGAAGGAGGAGGAAGAGAATAATTTCTTGTAAATTGATAGCTCAATGAAGTCCTCTAGGAGCGATCTGGGCTTCTTGTACGAATGTTGTACACACCCAATTACTTTAAAAATAATTGGGGGGGCCTCCCTGGTGTCACAAAGGATTAAGTCTCAGCACTATGCTTTATCAGCAGCCACTGCAGCACGAGTTCAATCCCTGGCCAGGGAGATAACCCTGGCACAGCAAACATCTCCTGTCTCGCCCGCTGCTCCCCTCAGCAGTGTATTTCAGTCGATCTGCCTGTTCTGCTCCCCACTCTGTCTCTGGTGAATCCTCTCACATCCTCTGCCCCTGCACCCTTAGCCTACACCCCAGCTCTTGTATGCATAAATAAATAAAATAAATCTTTTTTAAAAATGGGGAACAAAATTATACCAAGTACTTTACAGAAGTTGCTAAATAATATGAAAAAATAATGAGGAAATGTAATTTCAAAATAAACATGTAAAAATGATCAACTTTGCTAGTAATCATACAGCTGCATGTTATAATATCAATGAAACTATCTTTTCCCACCTATTATTATTTGGAGAAAGAAGAGTGAAGAAGAAATAAAGCCAAGTGGCTAAGAGTGCTGTGATATTAGACAGTGTTCTGATGTTGAGTCCAAGTTATAATGCTTACTTGCTGTGTGGCCTTCTATGTGGCTTTTAAGTTTTTGAGTTTCAACTTACTTGTCAATGAAAAGTGGGCAATTAACAGTAGCTAGTTCAGTGATAGATGATGAGGTTCTGTATGCACTTAGATCAGTGCTTATCAAATGCTAAATCTTGAATAAAAGATATAGTATTAGTGCTGAAGGTTGGAGAGGGCAGCATGATGGCTATATGCATTGGTGGAGAGTCTACAAATCATATGAACTTGTGGAAAGCAAGCTTTTTTGTGTAGTCATACTAGGAAAATATTCTACAGAATGGAAAAACAAAACTCTTGCAAATGTTTTAGTAGTACTGCATATAATATTGAAAAACTCACCTATTTGCCAGGAATTTCATGGTTAAATGATGCTGTTTACTTAATAAAATCTTATGCAACAAATTTCAAAAGGTAGTAATTAATGAACCCTGCATGATAACATGAATACGAGATTATAGTGCAAAAAAGGACAACATTGTATGTTACAAACATAATAAATAAAAATAAGTTCTTATGCAGGCATAAATTACAAAGATATATGTTTGTGTTACTAGAGTGATAGAATTAAGGATAATGTTTCTTCATTTTCCAGATTTTTCACTGTCTATGTATGTATGTATAAAATAATAGCTGCTGTTTATTGAGTAATTTCTGTGCCTGACTGTTCAGTATGCTTTAGGTACATTATCTCATGTTGGTTACAGTCGCCACTAAGATGTAGGTGTTACCCTTCCTGGTAAGCAGAGGAAGAAAGTGGAATTTAGGGAGGATTCTGAAGCTGTGTTAATGGTGAAGACGGAGTGTGAGTCTAATCACATGTCTGTGTTAACCAGCACACCAGACAGCTTTACTGACTGCTAATTTGAAAGAGTACTGAAGAAGAAAACAGAAACAGGAAGAGTCTCTTGCATGGTTACATGTTTAATTTGGTTCTTAAAGTGATGAGACCAAAAAATGATATAAAAGTAAACCAAGGAAGAAAAGTAGTTATGCTTAGAACTATTCAGAATTAATGTATTACAAAATAATCCTTACTATCTGGATTTGGCTTTTCCAAATTGGTATAATTTAGGATTGTTATTTAATATATGCTGATTGGGAAAACTAAGGCAATTTTTAAAATCAGAAGCTGGTCATCAGCTTAAATGTAAGTGGACTTTATGGCCAACAGATTGTAACGTGAGTTATTTCAAAAGATGGTGCAAAAGAGCCTAGAGGGACATTCACTTAGACACCCTCTCAGGCAGGTGCCCTTAGATAACTTTTTGTTGTGCCTGAGGCTAAATTGTAGTTTATAAATAACATCTGTCTTTGGGATTCCATTCCAATTTCTTGCTATTATCTGACTCCCTCATGGGCTTCCCACTGGAATTTCAATATTTCACACTAGTTAGGGACCTGGGATCCAGAAGCCCCCAGAAGAGGTTACTGCATAGATTTCTTTGAGGGAAAGGAAATTATTATCCAAAAAGCAGCAAGTCATCATTCACATCCTGAATATGAGTGAAAATAGAGGATTTATTGCCAAATACCTTTCTTTCTGAATCATCTCGTAAGAAAAGAATTTATTGAGAGGAATGAGGACATTCATTCATTGTTTTCTTCTTAGTATTAGCAGTAAAATGTTTAATTATACAGTTCAGGAAATTAACACCTATAGTGGAGATGCAAAGGAAATGAAGTGCACCTTTAAGGGCAACGGAGAGAAATGTTTTGTGTATAAAGAGCAAAAATATGGTAAGCATCGATTAGAAATGAGAAACCCAAAATCTGACTTTTCCTTATTTGAAAACTACAATTTCTAAAAGTTACTTCTATGTGTAGAGTTTGAAGCATTTTATAGATAACCAAGGGGAACTAACAACCATGAAGTGTGGAGTTGGTTTTTTAATTTAATTGTACAAATCTTGTGATCAAATTTCTGTAATTGAACATTGAGCTAGTAATACTCTGGATGATACGTACCTCTGATTTTGAAGATAAATAGACCAATTCTTTATATATTTATGTGCTCGTTAATAAAGACAGAGGTAGGATTCTCAGATTACTTGTCTCTCTTCCTCCTTCTTGCTACACTCTCCCACGCTACAGAATTATTGCATTAGCTTATTTACATAAAAAATGTGGAATCTCTCATTCTTTATACCAATTAGCTTTGCTTTTGGAGCTAGGAGGGCCTGGAGAGGAGCCCTTGAGAAGCGAGGCAGGAGGAGCCTGGGCTCTGTGGCCAAAGCCCTTCTGCCCAGAGGGCTTCAGGAAGGCCTCCCTGCTCCCTCCTGGCAGCTGCCCTCCTGCCCTGTGACTGGCAGTAGCACAGCAGCGGGAGAGCCAGTGGGGAATGTGGGAGCATTTCCAGTGCTTGGGTGTGAGGCTAGAGCAATAGCCTGACTGGGAGGAGGAGCGTGCAAGAGTTTTGTTTTTTTGTTTTTTTCAGCTTCTTGAAATTGATTTCTTTCTTTGTTTCTTTTTTCTTTGACTCCCCTGATTGCAGATTTTCTTTTTTATTATTTTACTTTATATATATTTTTACATCATTTTTCATTTTTGCACAATGTATGCATTCTCATCGGTTATAGTCCCCATACAATTCCCACCCCCCCTTATATTGACCCTAATCCCTCCTTCTCTCCTCCCCTCCCCACCCCGTTGTGTCTCTGGTGTATAGTTGCTTGTTGATTTTGATTTTTACTTTATGAACTGCCACATGGGGCTCAAGGAAAACTTTCAAGTGTTTATTTTGGGAGTTTCAGCTAAAAGTGCTGTCTCCTGTAAACTTGGTTTCTTGTAAACCTTTGCTGCCGAAAAGCAAACTTTGGCTGCTCTCCTGCCTGGCAGAGAAAGTGAAATCAATTTGATTGGCTGGTCTGAAATTTGGAAATCATTGGTATACTAGTCCTATTAGAGATGAGGAAACTGAAGTAGAGAGGTTAAAGGATTTATTCTGGTCGGATACAATTTATGGTGGAACTGCTGGCTATAACTCAAAACCTTTCAGAGATTCTTCCTATTTATCAGGTGAGAGAGGAAAGTGTATGAGACCTCATCACTCTTTGCTTTAAGAGCCTTGTAGTATCTGAAAGTCTTGCCAGATGCCTCTGTTTTTAATCTCCAGTGGCTGCTTTCCACATGTGTGTGACTATTTTTTTTTCCTGTAGACCCTGAAGGACCTGCATGAGAAATCTCCATTCTAGCTATGAGTTAGGAGATGAGATTGCTGAGGACAAAGATGAACAGCCCTTAAGGGAATTGGCTGATTTGAATACTATAGAAACATTTAGTGATTATATGCTGTTTACTAGAGAGATAATAAATGTAAGCAGGGAATCTGGATAGATCTGGACGACCTGAATCTTTTCTATCTGGTATAGCATGATGACATTAAATGAGGGAAAGACTATAAAATTCAGATCTTTTGCAAATATTCTTTTATGCTACTCATATTTAATTCCAGTAGTCTAAATTATGTGAAATAGACTTAGGAAAAAGTAATTAACTTTTTAAAAATACACATATTGATGTGAAATATTTGAGAAAATTAGGACATTGTAATGGGTGTGTTAGAGTGAGGATGGTGCAGAGGGATATTAGAACATGACCATTAAAAATTATTTTAAAAGATTAAAAAATAAAAACCATTTATAAAACCTGACAGACTGCTGTCTTTACTGATGCTTATAGGTTGATTTTTTGCTTTTTATAATTTATTTTATCTTGGTACTTGAGGAACACATAAACATAGAGACACCTAATGCAATGGGATTATATATGTTACATACCACCCCTATTTTGAAACTCACATTTATTTTCACAAATACTTTTCTATTTATTTGTTGGTGAAAAAAGAAAAAGTGAAAATACAAGACTCTAAATAAT